TTTCAGACCGATGAGTTTTGTAAAAATCGACGCGTTTCAGAAAGGCGGGGCATAGAGGAGAAACAATAATGCACAGTATGTGGGAACTAATGACCTTAAACCGCATGAACACATTTCATTACACCAAATACACAAAATAATGTTATTTTTATCATATGACCCCTTTAAAACTGATTGGTTACCAACATTCTTCAAAATATGCCCTTTTGTGTTCAACAGAAGAAACCCATACAGTTTTGGACCAACTTGAGTACATGACAGCATTTTTTATTTTTGGGTGAACTATCCCTTTAATGGTCCTATAAACAGACTTTTTTTCTTTTGTTTTTGGGGTGAAATACAACATGAATAAAGGTCTTGACAGGTTATATGACATTCATCCTGATATATTTTCCTAACCAATTCACTGCTGAAAAAAACTTTTATTGTGTGGCAGCTTAGCCATTATTTGTTAACGTAGAGAATATGCGTTGAAGATTAGTTGATATTGCTTTGTTATCTGTATTTGCAGGTATAATGAAAGTACATTAATATCGCTTTGTAAATTTAAGATATGATTTCATCCTCTTATTCTCTGACAGATCCGGATCAGAATGGCTATGATGAATGTAAAGTTACAGAATGTAACTAATGATAGTAGTCAGTACCGTTGTGAGTTAAAAGAACACTTCAAGTACATTCTCCTCCCGGTGAGTTACTCTCTGGTGTTTGTGTTCGGTCTGGGGTTGAACATCACGGCCATGTACGTCATCTTGTTCCGAACCAAACACTGGAAGCCCAGCACCATCTACATGATCAACCTCAACGTCTGCGACACGCTTTACATCCTCACTCTGCCGTTCCTCATCTACTATTACGATAATAAGAACGACTGGCCGTTCGGTGAGCTGATGTGTAAGCTGATTCGCTTTCTCTTCTACACAAACCTCTACGGGAGCATCCTCTTCCTCAGCTGCATCAGTCTGCACCGGTATTTAGGCATCTGCCACCCGATGCGCTCTTTGTACTGGATGAACGGCCGTCGCGCTCGTTTGGTTTCTGTGGGAATATGGGTGATCATTCTCATCTTACAGGCACCCATTCTTTATTTCTCCAGGGTGAGACTTAATGGTGACGATTGGGTCTGTCATGACACCACCATCAACGAGCTCTTCAATGACTTTCTGGTCTACAGCTCGGTGGTGATGTTTCTGCTTTTTGTCATACCGTTTGGAGTGGTGCTGGTCTGCAACAGCCTGATGGTGAAGAAACTTCTTGATCCCGGCGATCTCAGAGAACCAATGTCACAGCACTCAAAAAAGAAGTCGGCGAAGATGATTATCATTGTGCTTCTGGCTTTCATGTTTTGCTTCTTGCCTTTCCATGTGAACTGCAGTATATATTACACCTTCCGTTACCTGGACAAACACGACTGCAACATAATACGACTCTCCAACAACATCTACAAAGTCATGCGAACTCTGGTCAGTCTCAACAGCTGCATCGACCCCATCCTCTACTTCATGGCAGGACAGAGCTTCAGAAACAGCATCAACAAGAAATCAAGCATAAAGTCTGAAAAATTCCCACTCAACATTACAGTAAAAATGTCTTTATTTCATAGAATGACTATACGTCCTTTTTTCCTAGACATGTCCTAGCCAGGATTTCTAAATTGCCTAAAATGTTCGGTTTTGGCTTTGTTTTTATACTTGCTAAAACGAATAACTGAAAAGTAGTTTGACCAATAGCATGCAGGCATAGTGCATAATTGACCAATCGTGGCATCCAAGAAGGTGGGATCTACAGAAAACGGTCAAAGAATGCAATGCAAATACATGTATAACGTAGCCTATGAGGACCGCAGAGAGAGCAGCAATAGGAAAACAAAGCCAAAACCCGGACATTTTAGGACGTTTAGAAATACCGGCAAGGATCTGCGAGGCAAAATAGGGCTTTTCACACTGCGCTTAACCTATCGTCATTAGAGGAATGCTTCACACATGTAGCTAATTTAAAAGTGAGGTTAGCACCGTTTTTACCCGGTGAGCAAGACACCCAATCGCTTGCCTCACCTGTGAAAAGGTGACGGAAAATGTGTCAATTGGAGTGAAGAGGCCGTTTTATTATCTCCTATATAATACGTAGCTGATTTAAATCTTATATATATATAGCTGCCTTCACGCCATGTCATAATTACTTCCAAGTCCGCAGTTTTAGCGATCTCTCCCCACGCTATTTCCACAAAGGGGGATCTCGCGTAGCCAGACCTTCAGTCTGACTGCAGAAGGTCTGGGATCCTTGGCCGCTTTCAATGGGCTAGTCCCACCCAAGAGGCCATATGACTGACAGGTAAAGAAACTAATCGTTGCGTTTTGTGGGTGATTCTATAATTGGAGATACATTTGGCATTTCATAAAGTAAAAAAAAACAAACTGTTCCCTAACAGAAATTCTTTCCAGTATCTTATTCAAAACATATTCAATTGCAATAATTCAGTGCTTGCCAAACACAAGTTACTTCCTTGTTTTACTTTTAAAGTCACCATGAAACATATATCAGAGTGAAACGGCATCTGAAATGAGAGGGCGGGACTTGATTTCACACAGAGAAAGAGAGAGAGAGAGAGAGAGACTGCCTGAATGGTTAAGTCATATTCATGAAAAAAATTAGTTTGCAATGTCCTAAGAGTAATGTTGTGGTAATATCCTAATATCTTTTCAATGTTTAGGGGTAACGTACTCCCTCATGACTGGTGTCAGTGCTTTTCCCCCTGTCCTTTATCCCAGCGTTTACCCCTCACGTCACTAGCTCCGCCCTTGCACCATAGCTCGTGACCGGAAGAGAAGATGAGTCGTTTTGAGGGGGAGGGGAGGTTAACGTTTTTGATTAAAGATTAGGAGGGCACATGAATTAAAAAAAAAGAATGAAGTGCATGGATAAATTATTTATAATAAACACTACAGTATTCCATTAAAAAATAAGAATTTTCCATTTTGATTTCATGGTGACTTTAATGAAAAAACAGATGTCTTTATGGTATTGTTTGTCAACTCTGTTACGGACAAATTAGGCAATGTGTAGAAATAACAATAAATCATAAAAGGAAAAATCCTTCTTGTATCATCAGACAAACAGTCCTTACATTCCAACATTTGGAACTGAGATAATATTTCACCTATGCACACCATAAAAAAAAAAAAAAATGCCTATGCCTTCAAAGGATTGTCCACTTGGAGCAAATATTTTTCATCTGAAAATGTATTATATACAATATCCAATAAAAAATGTTTTTGAAATATTATAAGGTTGCATAATATCTCAATAATGTTTATGAGGTTTTAAACAACAATTGTATTGTTTTTTTGTGAAAATAGTTCATAAACAGAGTTGACCCTTTAAGTAACAGAATTGACAATTATCCGGTGGACTTTCAATTCTGTTGCACTATTGTCTGCATTGTTACTCTACCTTGGTAACAGAATTGACCTTTTTTTTTTTTTTGCCAAAAACTCCACTTGCTAGCATAAATGCTAAGAGCATATGGCACTAATGAAATCATGATTAAAATACCTTTAAATAACCCAATGTGTGATCAGTAATACATTTTGTTTTCCTTTTGATATTGTGGTTAACAGTGTTGACATTCTTCAAAATAACTCTTGGTATAAGAATTTTTTAGATTAAAATATTTTCTCAGAGAGAGCACACATACTTTTTAGTGCTTCAGATCTTATCAGTGAGGGAAAGTGACATAATTTCCTGTATCGTACATAGCTGTGGGAGATAATTCCACCAATTTAAAGGCAAAATATGGTACGGTAACAGAGTTGACCCAAGATTTATTGACACATTTTTATAAGAAAAAAGTTATTTTTAAACAATTTAATGTTGTAGAATTAAGTAAATGAATGAAATATTACAAAAAGAAAAGTACAGTAAAATATTTTGATTACACATCACATGATGGAAAAAAATGCACTGACTAATTCGGACAACAAGAAATCATGATTTTGAGTTATTTAATACACTTTTTACACAAATTATTATATTGTTATTGACTGTAACATCTTGTAATTCATACCAATAAGTAACAAATTATTAAAATAAGTAAAAATATAACCATTTAAAGAAAAGCAGAAAAAAATAATGACTTCGGACACCAAATGTATACCTGCAATTATAGAATCACCCTTATGCCAACCCATGTTTAGGGAGGTGGAAATGTCCCCACAATAACAGACCGGTGTGTAAAACTCTTGGACATATTTTAAAGATTCTATGCTGCCAACTTGAAATATTTCATATACTTTTGAAAATCCAGCGTTTAGATGATCCTGATACGTGCTCATCATCACAGTTCCAATTTAGTGTGCGATATCTGCATCAGACGTTCTGCCAACAGTCCGTGGGCATGACATCTGAGGCTGAGATTACAATTGGGCTAGTTTTGAAAAGCAGTTGACCCTTCGCAAAAACCCGCCCTCCTTAGTTACTGTTGCTATGTCCGACAAGTCATGCCTCTCTCACATTACACATCATGTTCTCACACAGTAAAAAAATACGGAGCAAAGAGGAAACTGACAACAAGCCGACAGACAAGACGGAGCAGGTTACTTCTGGTATGAAACAAGGTCTCAGCTTTAAAATATTGTCTTTTTTTAAAGAAATTCAAACAATAAATACCATTTTGTGGCTCTTTAATGTGTCGTGACAGATCGCTGTATTGGCACACGTGAACCGATCGTCTTTTCATATTTACTTAAAGCACGAAATAAACATGAATGAACATCATAACGTATTTTATTTCAACCGCGAAGGATGTCAATACACACAATTTTTCAAGTTTAAGTCCACCAAAGTTAATCTACTCTCCCATCTGATTTGTTTGTCGGGCAAGATGGCGGATTTGGCGTTTTGATTGGTCCGAACGCCTGTCAGTCAAGCTGTTTGCAAACGGTCAATTGGGCTGGTTTTGTTTCGCAGACCTGGCAACCCTGTTTCCAAGTCATCAGACTCAGAATTATGCGTTATACGACTAAATTTCGCATGCTCAAAGTCTAGTGTGACCGCGGCTTAATTAACTATTTAAAGTGTGAAAAGCCCTACTGTTTACTGTGTTACTGTAACAATTTCCTGGTAATCATCAGGTTATTGCATATAATCCGTCCGACAGCATGTTAGATCAGAATAGTGTGCTAGTATACTGAAAATGCTATAGCTTATACTGTTTTTTTTTAGGTTGATACATTTAGCCATTGCTAATGCTTAAAAATGCAAAAGCACATTTTAAACCACTGTTCAAAGAAGTTTGGGGTCAGTAAGTTTTTTTTATATTTAATATTTAATACTTATTTAATATTTAATACTTTAATTGAGCAAGGATGCATTTGATTAATCAAAAGTGACCGTAATAACCTTTTAAATGTAGTGTTACAAAAGATATTTGAAATAAATGCTGTTCTTATGAACTTTCTATTTATCAAAGAACCCTGAAAAAATGTCTCACGGTTTCCACAGAAATATGAAGCAGCACATACGTTTTCAACACCAAGAAGAAGAAAAAGAAGAAGAAGAAGAAGAAGAAGAAACGTTTCTTTAAGCAGCAAATCAAATCAGCATATTAGAATGATTTTTGTACAATCATGTTACACTGAAGACTGGAGTAATGATGCTTTGCATACATGTTACAGTGTATTCACACAGAAAACGGTTATTTTTAATTGTTTTACTGAATTTTTGATCAAATTTATGCAGCCTTGGTGAGCAGATTTTTTTTTTCTTTTTCAAAAACATTTAAAAAATCTCACCAACCCCAAACTTCTGAATGGTATATTACCAGAAAAATCATCACAAATATACAGCATGGAGATGCAATGCATTTAATATCAGTCTATATAAATGAAGAGATGTAAAAATGAATTTCCACATCTCTGATACTGCAGTAAAGTTCTTTATTGCAAGAGTATAAATCTCAAGAAAAAACAACATTATTATTAGAATAATAAATAAGAGCAACAACAATACAGTGCCGAGTTTCCCCTTACCTTTTCATCCTAGTTGATCTTTGCAAAGTAAGGTATAACAACAATTTATGTCTCTAGCTATAACTGAGTATGCAAACAAACACGTGTGTATTGTATACAAATTCACTTTATATAAAATGTGCATGTAAATGTAACAAAACTGTGACGCTACCCTTGAGTAGCCTTGCCTGTAGCTTGCCTTGACTACTTCTGAACTACAAATAAATACAATGGAAGAAGGAAATTATGAAATAGAGTAATATTTCATAATATACATTTTTCAATTACCTCAGTAAGTTGTGACGAAACTTTCATGAAGACACGAATTTCACAATTCGTGAAGCTGAGCTGAGGACCGTAACCATTCAGTATCATTTCATTATTTGAGGTTTTGCACAATCTGTACCGCACCACATGCATCGACTCATTCAGCTATAAATGCAACAGCTCTTCATGTTTCTCTGAGGACTGATGAACACTCAGCTATATCCTGTAAGATGAAGATGCATGACACCAACATGTGCGTCATGAGCGTTCACACTGCAAACCAAACTCAACAACTTAAATTTTATGCTTAAATGTGGTTTTTTTTTTTTTCAGGTTGGACAGACACTGAAAAAATAATTTTCGTACTATCTAAACTTTCTTAAATCAAGATACATTTAATTGAGAAGCAGAAAGACTTGACAAGAACAGAACAAATATCTGTCAGTGTGGAAAGAAAAATAAACCTGATTTAAAGGGTTAGTTCACCCAAAAATGAAAATTCTGTCATTATTTGACAGAATCTCACCAACTGGTGAGAACTGTAATGTTCACAAGTCCAGAAACGTAGCAAGTAGAACTCTAAAATAATCCATGTGACATCAGGGGTTCATCCGCAATTATACGAAGCTATGAGAATACTTTTTGTGCGAAAAAACAAACAAAAAACACTTTATTCAGCAATTCGTCTCCTCCACATCACCCTGGTGCCATTTTGGAGAATATCCGCTGGACGTAAACGCGGATACGCTGCTGTAAAGGTTTTTTTTTTTTTTTTCACACAAAAAGTATTCTCATAGCTTCATATAATTGCGGATGAACCCCTGATGTCACATGGATTATTTTAGATCTCCTTGCTACGTTTCTGGACTTGTGAACATTTCAGTTGTGTTGCTGTCTATGGGAGGGTCAGACAGCTCTCAGATTCCATCAAAAATATCTTAATTTGTGTTCTGAAGATGAACGAAGGTCTTACGGGTTTGAAACGACACGAGGGTGAGTAATTAATGACAGAATTTTCATTTTTGGGTGAACTAACCCTTTAATGAGAGAAAAATTCTTATCCCATTGACAGATCATTTTTCTTGCGATATCTGGTCTTAAATCTATGCATTTTTATTTTTATATGTCACTGTTGACAATTTCAATTTATATATAAAAAAATATATTTTTGCACCTTTGTGAATAGTACTACTTGATAAAGTTAATAAATTATTTAAAAATTCATGCAAAAGGAAGTTAGTTATGCAGTTATGATGAATATAAAGTTTGATTTAAAAATCTCGTAAATTCTAACCACAACTGTTCACACTGAAATCACACACAAAAAAATCTGATACGTAACATATTTCCATTTATGTCAGATTGAGTGTTGTTTTTCAAATCTGATCCACATTCAGCTGCAGTGTGAACGTCATCCAGACTGATGAACAGTCTTTTGTCATTAATAATGCCCAGTGCCCACTTCACTGATGACTAATGTTTGAAAAGATCCAAGAGAGAAACCAGGTCCAGCTTCCACTGAAATACAACAGCACAATGAAATAATATCCTACCGGTTCGATAAAGCCAGCAATCTGAAATGCATAAGGTTTAGTGCTAATACTAAATATATTTCATTAGTGTTACATAGCAAAGAAGCAGACAGCTAGTCTGAGGCACTACAGATGTTCTTGAGACGATAATACTTTCAGAAGGAACAATAAACCTTTTTTTAGTTTAGCTTCTAGCATGATTTTCTCATCAGTCCGTCCTAAGATTTGCATGCTGTATTGTAAGATGCCTTGATAAGAAAGCGTCTCCTAGAGATAGTGTGTTGCTTTGTTTTCCTTTTTCAATAAAGCTGATGAGCTGAAGGTTGTGGTGCAAAAGAGCTTGTTTGTTAATAAATGAAATATTACATCCCACTGACATGGTCAAAAGCTTGTGAACACTTGAAAATGCTCATTTCTAAGTGATATTGCTACTATTTCTGTGATATTTACATAAGCAGTTTTTAAATTGTGGAACAATTAGCCGCCTGTTTTTTTAATCCTTAAAGAAATAAAAATGCAAACCAAAAAATGTGAAACATAGTGGTCCCAAAAAGTATTTAACCATACTTAAAATGTCTGAATGTCATTGCATTAGTATCAAACCAAGCTTATTTGAATAAAAAGACTTCAGCACACTTTTCAAGCCAATCATTTGACACAAAGAAGTTTGAAAGGATGGAATAATTGTTGTCATTAGTGGAACATATTCATAGTTAAATTGCTGGACTCTGCAATCAAATATTAAGACATTCACACATTTAAGGTTTAGGGCTGCTGTACATTAGTCATGTATATTCCCATTTCTGACTTTTATGTTGAAGTTTTGGTTTAGTTTCCTGTTCTTATCTTGTAGTCTTTGTAGTTTCTTTGATTATTTCAGTGTTACCATTTCCTGTGTTTGGTTCTTGTTTCCTTGTGTTCTCCTTTGTTCATGGTTTCTGATTTAGTCACGAGTGTCATTTATTCCAAAACTGAAGTCCAAAATGCACATTCACTGTATTAAAGGTTTTAGTTGGTGAACTAGTGTAAACCATCTTAAATAAATATTTTTGTATAGCCTGTACCATTGCGTGTAAAAACCACAGAATACTGATTTTTATAAAAACAATAGAATATATATGCATATGAAATTGACAATGTGTTTTTGTAGGTTTTCTTTTATTTATTATTAACAAAACAAGAGGTTTGCAAACTTTTGACCATGACTGTACATATGCAATTCATTTAAAATCTTAAATACTAAAAAACAGATCTACAGTAAAAAGATGTAAATCAAACTAGTTTCTCATAATACTTGGTAATGTTTTCTAACTGGAGAGAACGTCTCACCGGTGTCTCGTTGTTCTGAGTGCTGTTTTCTGCACTGAAGACCTCTTTAGTGTCTTGTGGAAGCACACATGCTTTCAGAGGAAATGCCCTTCGCTCTCCTATTATCTGCTAGCAGAGACAGAGCTTATTGTTTTTTAATAAAATAGTTCTAGGACTTATGCAATAAATACGAATGTTTCCTAAGGTCTTGAATTCAAGGCTCCTCAAGGTGGTGAATACTGACGTCACCGTCACACGTCTGCCCCGATCGCTCGCTCGCCTCCTGATGATGTCATCCGTCCCGTCCTGGACGTCCTCCTCCTCAGCCTTTCAGATGTTCATCTGGGAGAGAGAATGATTAGTCACATGAATTAAAGGATGTCTCGAGTCATTTGTTGGTTAACAAATGCAAAAACTTTTCCAGCCAGCAGAGGGTGCCAGACAATATGATTTGACTCGGTATGAACTGAACCAGTGGATAAACTGAGTCCAGCTCTGACCGGAAAAACAAAGAGTTTGAGTTGAGGACAGCAGCAAACCCAAACAGATTCTCACATTTGTCAGTGTATTCATCCGTGAAGCACCAAACAAACACAGTGAGCCCTTTATGGATCACATGATGTGTTTTAAAAATGTAAAAAATTATTATTATTTTTTTAAAAAAGAAAATACTAATTTTATTCAACAAGGGCATTAAATTGATCAAAAGTGACAGTAAAGACATTTCTAAAGTTACAAAGAACTTCTATTTCAAATAAATGGTCTTCTTTTGAACTTTATCAAAGTATTATGAACAAAAACGGTCACTGTTCCCACAAAAATATTTTCAACATTGATAATAAGAAATGTTTCTTGAAACATTAACAGCATATTAGAATGATTTCTGAAGGACCATGTGACACTGAAGCAACACAGGAATAAATTACATGTTAAAATATATTCAAACAGAACAGTTATTTTAAATCATAATAATATTTCACAGTATTACTGCTTTTACTGTACTTTATAAAAAAGAAAAGCTATTTTCTAGTGTTGTTCTGTGTGTCATTTATAAATGCCGTGAGGCTGAATTGTTTCTGTAAATCCCAGGAGCTATTGCTAGTCAATGTGAAGCCATTAGCCCACCGCCCCGCGGATTCTTATGCAAGAGGGTAAACAGTTACGTTAGGTAACAAAAACTGACCTTTCCTCGATGCAACTCCTCTACAATTATTACACAGCCCTGCATCACATTCACTGAATGAAATCTCATACCGGTTTCTTACTCACTTCCTCACAAAATATGTGCATTTCATACCATTTTTGCTTTCGGCAATGATTTTTAAGGTGAAGATGTCTAGTATTATCACTTAATCCGCAGAAAAACTGCCACAAAGACATGATTCCTGTCTGAATCTAAGCCAGATTTCATATTTGTTCTATTCACATGTATGAATGATGCTGAAGACAATATTTAAGATTACACCGAAAGAAGAAAATGCAAACACTAGCCAGATGTTTTCTGCTCATCTGTGAGTGTTATAGCTTATTTATTTATAAGCTTCTGTTTATATTAAGTTATCTGACATTATATGGGAGTATCTGAACATATCTTTACACTCCTTTGCATATTGTAAGTTAAATGATACAGTTTGAATACTTTACTTTGAATTTTAATACTCTGTCATTTAAAACTAAGACTCTGACAGCTGCATTAAATCTGATATATATCTTTATTCTTATTTTGCAAAAACACTGTAGGAGATGAAAAATGTTACTGCCATTTTTAAACGTGGCTTCATTAAATTAGATAATATTAGGCATTTTTTAAAGATTGTCTACAGTGTTCTTCACCAGATGTTCACTAACCTGGACTAACTAGCTATGACTCAAGAAATAACTCTGAGTGTTTCCTATTCATTTACTGGTGAGACTTCCTGTAGGGGTTTTTACACATGGCTTTAGACAATGAGCTTCAGGTCAAGGCAGTAAAGGGAGAGATGAGGAAGAGGAAACTACAAACCGAGTGCTTGGAGGAATATTCCTGTTCCGCTTGTTTACAAACTCACCTCCTGTCTGGACTTTGAGGAGGCGGAGTTACAGGAAGAGGACACGCCCAGCAGGGAACGCTCTTCCGCAGGCTCGGTGTGGCCGCTGTCCATGGAGTCCGTATCGCTCGGATCCGGCTGGGTCACTTCCTTGGAAGCTGACTTGACTTCTGGGATCTGAGCGACTTGAAACCTGCCGTTCACATGCAGGTGACACAGAGGTCAGTGAGTGAAACTACAGGCCTGATGTGTCACTGTGAGCAGAACCAGGTGTGTGTGTGTGTGTAAGAATGAGACGTGAATCACCATCTCAAACCAACACACCTGATTCATTCAGTCATTGGGATTTACAGGTCTGCTCCAAAACCTAGTGAGCTCGAGAGACTTGACAGATTCCAGTAGACTCTTAACTCTGACACTAGTGTACTAATATATTGAAGTTAACATATCCAATTAAGCACAAAAATAGTTTCTTCTTAAATTAGAACATCAATTTTTTTTGTTAATATTATCACATTACATTATTTTTTGTTGATACACTCCACTATCTTGGATGAATATTTTCAGTTTTAGCTAAATTATATGCTTTCTGTGATAATAATAATAAAAATTAAAAAAAGACATAAAATGTAAATGTAAAACTATAAAAAATAATAATGATCGGTAATTATTAAAACAAAGTTGAACTAATAAAATTACTAAAACTAAGAAAAAGAGAGCAATATATATATTACAAAGTATATACATAACACAAAAATGTATAAAAAAAAATTGCTAATTGAAATTGGAAAGTAATTTAAAATATTAATAAATACTATAATAATAAATAAAAGAGAATAAGAACACATACAAAACTGGCTAAAAATATTGGGCAAAACAAGGCACCTTAATGTTTTGTGAAATGGTTTGGATGGTCTCTATATGGGAAGTACATCTATTTTGTCTAATAATGTTCACCAGTTTAAAAAACAAGCTTAAAACAGATTTCTCATGTATGGATTGAAACAACACATTTGAGCTGAAATGAAGGCCTTTCTTCTCTGAATTTACATAATTGTATATTTTATTTTCTATTTTTCTTACCTCCCTACAGACAGGATGGTGACCTCCGGCGTCTTGACCAGGTTAGTGGGGCTCTTGTGCGTACCGATGGGCAGCAGTAGCTCAGGCCACTTCTTCTGACTGCAGCGGGAGCAGCAGAGGCCAGAGCGCGGGGCCAGCCCGTTTATAGTGTGCAAATGATGCTGATGAGAACACAGCCGCGGCAACGACCGGAACGGAGAGAAATGAGGAAGAGCCGGAAACCTGAGAGAGACACAGGCAGAGAGACACTCACACTCATAGCCATACTGTGAGTGTATTTTACAAAAATATTTTTTACAATACTTTTTAACAAAGGTACAGCAGACTGGAAAAGATTTTAGCCAAATTCAAGCCTGGGACAATGACATGGCACCCCAGCAACCACACAGCAACGACCTAAACAACTCAGAACACCTTAGCAACCACATAGCAATGCCCTAAACTACTCAGAACGCCTTAGCAACCAGACAGCAATGCCCTAAACTACACAGAACACCTTAGAAACCAGATTGCAACACCTTAAACTACACAGAACACCTTAGAAACCACACAGCAACACCCTAAACTACTCCGAACACCTTAGAAATCCCATAGCAACACCCTAAACTACTCAGAACACCTTAGTAACCACACAGCAATGCCCTAAACTACACAGAACACCTTAGAAACAGCATAGCAACACCCTAAACTATTTGCAACACCTTAGCAACCAGACAGCAACACCCTAAACTACACAGAACACCTTAGAAACCACATAGCAACACCCTAAACTACTCACAACACCTTAGCAACCAGACAGCAACACTCTAAACTACACAGAACACCTTAGAAACCACATAGCAACACCCTAAACTACTCGGAACACCTTAGCAACCAGACAGCAACACTCTAAACTACACAGCACACCTTAGAAACCACATAGCAACACCCTAATCTACTCAGAACACCTTACAAACCACATAGGAGCACCTCAAACTACATAGAACACCTTAGAAACCACATAGGAGCACCCTAAACTACACGGAACACCTTAGAAACCTCATAACAACACCCTAAACTACTCACAACACCTTAGTAACCAGACAGCAACACTATAAACTACACAGAACACCTTAGAAACCACATAGCAACACCCTAAACTACTCAGAACACCGTAGTAACCACATAGCAATGCCCTAAACTACACAGAACACCTTAGAAACAACACATTAGCACCTTAAACTACTCAGAACACCTTAGAAAACCACATAGCAACACCCTAAACTACTCAGAACACCGTAGTAACCACATAGCAATGCCCTAAACTACACAGAACACCTTAGAAACAACACATTAGCACCTTAAACTACTCAGAACACCTTAGAAAACCACATAGCAACACCCTAAACTACTCAGACCACCTTAGTAACCACATAGCAATGCCCTAAACTACTCACAACACCTTAGTAACCAGACAGCAACACCCTAATCTACACAGAACACCTTAGAAACCACACAGCGACACCCTAAACTACTCACAACACCTTAGCAACCAGACAGCAACACTATAAACTACACAGAACACCTTAGAAACCACATAGGAACACCCTAAACTACTCACAACACCTTAGCAACCAGACAGCAACACCCTAAACTACACAGAATACCTTAGAAATCACATAGCAACACCCTAAACTACTCACAACACCTTAGCATCCAGACAGCAACACCCTAAACTAAACAGAACACCTTAGAAACCACATAGCAACACCCTAAACTACTCAGAACACCGTAGTAACCACATAGCAATGCCCTAAACTACACAGAACACCTTAGAAACAACACATTAGCACCTTAAACTACTCAGAACACCTTAGAAAACCACATAGCAACACCCTAAACTACTCAGACCACCTTAGTAACCACATAGCAATGCCCTAAACTACTCACAACACCTTAGTAACCAGACAGCAACACCCTAATCTACACAGAACACCTTAGAAACCACATAGCAACACCCTAAACTACTCACAACACCTTAGCAACCAGACAGCAACACTATAAACTACACAGAACACCTTAGAAACCACATAGGAACACCCTAAACTATTCACTACACCTTAGCATCCAGACAGCAACACTATAAACTACACATAACACCTTAGAAACCACATAGCAACACCCTAAACTACTCACAACACGTTAGCAACCAGATAACAATGCTTTGCCATTATCTCTACAAAAATCCAGCGTTTAATTAATGCTTTGGTATACCAATGAAGCTTGATTCTTGGCGTACCGAAACAGGCATGCGCAGATAGTTCTTAAAATAAGTCTTGAAGTATATTCAGGTCTTCTCTAAACACACTGAGAGCACATAAACCACAATCCATTCATGGAGTCCTGATATCCACACGCCCCCTCCCATAGTTCCATTGTGATGATGTCAGAGGCCCTGAGCTCGCGGCAGCTGTATAACGCAGCGCTCTCCGCCTGCAGAAAAGGGTCTGGAATTAAAGGATCTCTTGAACTGAGCTGTTATTTCAGCAGGCACTGATGATGGCAGCATACCGGATCTCCGGATCTGTGCCAGTAAATTTCCCAGAAGTCACTGTACAACTGTGATTTCAAAGAGATGAATCAGGCTCTGTCTCTGACTGTTATGATGTGTTTGACATTATAAAATGCATAATTATGACTCTGAAATCTGATTGGATGCACGGGAAAACAGTCAATAAATATACACATAAATGTACAATAATGACCAAAACAAGTCCATTTTCGAAGAAAAACAAAAAAAACAAAAATAGAAAGCTCCCTCTATGCTTTTTAAGGGACCTTGACCTCACTGTGGTGATGTTTCAGTTGGAAAATGAACAAGCACTTCCTTCTTGATGATTTATAGGCTTGTCAGCGCTGCAAACCAGGTGCAAACTCATTAACACAGACACGATCTCTCCCTCAGCTCTTCTAACACTACATAGATTTTTCATTAAGGAGTTTACAAGAATAAGCTGCATCTTTATCTCAGCTAATGGAAAACTGCTTTCTGTTTCACAACTGGGAATTCCTCTCAGAGCTCAATTCATTTCATAAGGCTGGAGATGAGTCACGCAACGATTCAAGCATGAACTGTGACTATCTTCAATCATAAACTAACATTCAAAAGAATGGAGTTTTTTAATGTTTTTGAAAGAAGTCTCTTCTGCTCACTAAGGCTGCATTTATTTGATCAAAAATACAGTAAAAACTTTAATATTATGAAATATGATTACAGTTTAAAATACATGTTTTTTTCTAAATACATTTTAAAATGTAATTTTCAGCATCATTACTCCAGTCTTCAGTGTCACATGATCTTCAGAAATCATTCTAATATGCTGATTTGCTGCTCAAGAAACATTTCTTATGTTGAAGAGAGCTGTGCAATTTTGATCAATTTAATGCATCCTTGCTGAATAAAAAAAATTAATTTCATTATTCAGTCTTATGTGTAAAATGTACATTTCACACTTTAAAACTTGCAATTATCTCATAAGGCAACATTAAACCTATAATCTCATAAATTACATGCTTTGCTAGTCACTTGCTTATTATTCATAATGGGAATATTGAAGATGGCATTCGAGCAAATAAGATAGATTGACAAGCATTAACAAAGTCACTCTCTACCTAGTCGGGGAATGTGAATATAAATTGGTTTTGTAACTTTCTTAAGAACTGCAACATACATGGTTTAAATAGAATTGTAAGAACCTTTTAAGACATTTACTCATAACAAAACATTAGTTGTGACTCACAAGTCTTACCATCAGTAGTTTATCTAGAATGCTTAGAGCTTATTCTTCTCCAGACCTCCCTGTGGTGACACATACTGTACATGGAATATTATGGCGGCAATTCTATGCCATTAATAACCGAGCGCACCACTGATGCTGGCGCGTGGGGTAAATCACTTCCGCGAGAGGAAAACAGATTTACACGCGAGGAAACGGGAGCCCGCGAGCTCATTTCAAACCCTCGCGCGCGCGTGACGTCCTCTGCGCGCAATACAAGCCCTCGCGCGCGCATGATCATTCCCCACATCCTCGCGCTCAATCTTCCCTCACCTGCTCGCGCGAACTATATGACAAAATATAGTTGCATGGCCATTAAGAAATATTTATGGACAATGCATTTTCTCAGTTCAAAGTTAATTTTGGACTCTGTGTGCTGTGTGTGAGTTTTCAAAAGTGATTTTGAGTAGGTTTGTGTGTGTTCTTACTTGACGGATGAGCTCTTGTTGAGGGCCATCTGTTTATTCTCATATTCCTGCAGAAGTTCTTCCAGAGCAGCTGCATTTTCTGTAACACACAAACACATCGAGATGCAATGAGACTCTGATCTCACAGTGTGATGTGAGGGTTGTGAGTTAAATGTGTCAAGAAACATCACACACCTTTCTTCTCTGTGATGAGCCGCACCAGAATGCTGATGGTGTCTTCATTGGGGTCATCAACAATGTAGGGACAAGGGTTTCCTGAGGAGAAAAGCAAAACCGTTTAAGTCTGTACACTTTTTGCTATATTTTATATTTTAAAGTGTTTATATTTTATTTGCTCTCATATAATTAACAAATTTTAATTTGGGTTTTTTTTAGCATTTTAAAGGATTTTTTAATTATTTTTTATTTATTTAATTAATTAATTAATATTTTTTTTTGCATTTTTCCACCTGATAACTGTTATATAGTAAGTAAAACCATCTAGTTCAAACAAGATTTTTTTTTTAAAGTTTTTATTAAAATTACACTTTAATTTAGTACAGTTTAGTACAACAAATAATGTATAAAGATTTTACAATTTAAATGTCTTTTTTCTCAAACTTCAAAACAGTGTTATTATTGTCAACTAAAGCTAAAACTATTAAAATCATTTTCTGTAATTGAAATAAAGCTGAAATAAGATAATATTCTATAAATATTAGATGAAAAACCTACATGAGATTTATTTTTTTTTGCCTTGCCAACCAACTTAAATACATAACAATAATTAAAAAGGTTAATAAATACAAATGAATGAAAGCTAAATAGAAATATTTAAATAAAAATGAATAAAAATTACAATTTGCACATAACAAAATCACTTAAAATGAAATAAAAATTTGAAAACTAAAAATAAAAGTGAAAATACAAAAATGAAAGCTAATTAAAAATGCTATAATAGTATATAAATAATTCTAAAACAGCACTGCTTCACAGTGTTGACAATTTGAGGGAAAATGAGCTTAAAGTACCTAAAAATAAGCTTCACCTTCTTTGTGCAAATGATATGGGACACATACGTACATGTTTTTGACCGGTTTTGTGAGCTTCACAGTGAACAAATATTATTTTGAAGCTCCAGCAGTATTTAAAACTTCTCTGTGGGTGTGCGTTTGTATTGTCGTGATGTCATCCCTATCATTAAGTACTATTTTTAAAAGAGTTTAACAGCACAGGGAAACCGCTGCACTCTGTCCTCATTAGAGTTAAAAACACGCCAATTCACCATTAATCACCACAGGCAGACGGATTCAGAACACACCAAAAATGTCGTCACGCCACTGCTAAACTCTGACAGTCTCTATTGTGATGCATTTGTGAATCTATAGCATACAGAAGGCTCAGTGTGTAGTTATCAGTGTCTCTATGGTAACTACAGGTGCATCTCAATAAATTAGAATGTCGTGGAAAAGTTCATTTATTTCAGTAATTCAACTCAAATTGTGAA